ATATCATGTTCAGCATGGAGCAAATAATTTCATCAGTTGTGGAATATGTGGATTATGACTATGCGGGTGATCTGAATGATAAGACGTCTACAACAGGGTATGTATTTACATTTGTGAGGGGCCTATATGTTTGAAATCATTAGTTCAATCCATAGTAACTATGTATGCAACCGTGTCAGAATACACGACAATAGCTGAAGCTGCCAAAGAAGCATTGTGGCTTACAAGGTTAGTGAAAGAGTTAGGTGTTGAGCTAGGTGGACTTCAGTTGTATTGTGATAGTTAGAGTGCTAACTATTTGGCGAATAATCATATGTATTAATCTAGGACCAAGCATATTGATGTGAGGTTCCACAAGATTAGGAAGTTGTTGGCGTCCAGACAAATATTAATTTAGAAAGTTTACACTTTAGAGAATTCAGTTGATATGTTGAACAAGACAGTCACCAGTGAAAAGTTCAAACACTGTTTGGAATTGTTACATGTTTCTCAATGTTAAACAGGAGGTGTACCTCCCAAATTTCTAGGATGAATCGTTATGCAAGAAGTATTCATAGGGGTTTGATATTCTCCAAGGTGGAGATTGTTGAATATGAGTCAAATTGTTGAGATAATTAGGATTGTTGAGATAATTATGGGTTGTTGAGAGTAATACTCATATTGTTCAGATAGTTATGGGTTGTTGAGAAAACTATAGGCTATTGAGACAATAACTCATATTGTTGAGATGATTATAGGTAGAGATAATTGTTTGTTTCGGGAAACTAGGGATTAAGGTTTTAGATAAACTAAAACCTAGTGTTATATATGTGGCTTGTAATATTGTAATCCTATTCATTTTACAAGACATAAATAAAGGGAACTATAGCTACTCTATTGTAGACATAGGTGATTTGGCTGAATTGTGCAAACAAAGCTTTTCTGTGTTCTCTCTACTCTGATTTGTTTTTGTGTTTCTGTTCTAATGATATATATACACACACACACACGCAAAAATAAAGAGAAATACAACAATAAAGAAAATCATAGTAAAACAATTCATAAACGAGAGCATAAAAACAACACGAAAGAAAAAAAGCTCTAAACGAACTCATGTAAAGTAAAGATGAACATAGCTTAAACAACACACCACCAACACTAAACTATGACAAAATAAAATACACACATAATCTACAAATCAATCATGCATACAATGAGGTTTTTCCACCACTTATAGTAGGAACAAAAGTATTTAAATGACTTCCCAAGACACCACTTTCAAGAATAGAAAATGTAGTGTTTAAAAACTCTTTCGCGTTTACCACCTTCCCAAAAATATGAAATCATTATGAGATTTTCACTTGGACCCAATCACCCCATGTCAAATCATAAACAATTCTGATTTGCAACTATGACGAAACCCTAACCAAATATAACACCATAGACAAATGACTAGATAAAATTAAAGGTCAACTAAGCCACCCATTTTTTTTACCACATGCACTTTGACACCTCAAAAGTCACAAAGAGACGAGAAGTAGTTTCAAACCATAATAACAAAACCTCTTGGCAACTGTACACGGCTACAAGAATCGGGCGCCATAAACCATGCAAGTTATTTATCAACCTCCAACGCCTCTTCTCTAGCATAGTTAAATTAAAAATCCTAAGGTCACATAGACCCAACCTACCTAAATGCTTAAGTTTGCAAACATCAGCCTGTCTAACCGAACAAATTTTAGTCACGCCCTTGACCCCTCCCTAGAGAAAATTCCTTTGAATTTAACAACGACCTTTCACATATTGACAGAAAAATTCATGAAAGGGAGACCGAAGATTGGGATAGGATAGAGGACGGGGTTAAGAAGGATAACACGACCACCTAAACTAATATAACGACGACTCTACAAGTGAAAATGCTTGGTAATAAAATTGATAAGTTGCTTACAAGTACCATCAGAATGAGGGTTTGTACCCACTCGAAAACCAAGGTAAGTAAAAGTGATAGATTACCTTTAGCAATGAATAAAATATTCAACAAAATCCAAAATTACTAACCCAATATTAACATATATCTGCTGACTAGAAAAATTAAAACTAAAGACAAAAGTGAGCTCAAAAACCCTAAGGATAACTTAATGGTCCAAATATACTAAACTAAGGCCTCTCCTAGATCAAGTTATCATCCACATAATCGATATGAGAAATCACCTAGTTTGAGGCTCTCTCTAAAATCCTCGATAAATGACACAGATCCACCGCTTTTCTAACTAGACCACTAAGCCCTTCCAGAACCAACAGGAAGAGGAATTGGATCAGTTGGTCACCTTGCTTAAGGCCTCTTTGAATATGGATATCTTTGGTGGTGTAACCATTAACCAAGACATAAATATTACCACCAAAGAAGACACAGACACATACGCACACACACACACACACACACAAATCAAAATACGCCACTTACCACAAAAACTAAGCCTGCCTAACATATAATCAAGGAAACTCCAACTAACAGAGTTACACGCCTTTTAAAAACCAACCTTGAAGATGAGAAAATCCTTATTGGATTTCTTATCCAAATCGACAATCCCATTAACCCATAGCAATTCACCAACCAAAAGCTAACCTTTAAGAATAACTGACTAATTAGGAGAGATAAACTAATCAGTCACCTTTACAAGCTTTACTGACCAATACATTGACAACAAGTTTATAAATAAAACCAACTAAATGCAAAGGAGATTTGACCTTGGGAAAGTAACAAAGTGAGAGGTAAATCTACATGGAAGTGAAACCAGACTACAAAACTACTAAAATATCATTTCTAAGTTAGTCATAAGAACTTTCCATAACCTTTTGAAAAATGAGAAGTTAAAACCACCAGATCTTAGATATTTTCCCCCTCACATTGAGATATCATAAGATCGATCACTAACAGGAGGAACAAAGATATAAGCTCATAGTTATTCTCTAGAGAAAGAGAACAAAAGAAAACATCATCCAAATGGGGTATATTGGATAGATACTCCTTGAAATGGTTTGAACAATAAGACACCACCTCTTGCCTGATCTTTAAGACACTTTATAACCACATATCTCCGACCCGAAGAGAAAGGATATCATTCATCATTCTTCTGATCTTAACACTTGCATGGAAAAACATGTTTTTGTGTCACCTTCGTTAAGCTACCAAATCCTAAAAGTTTGGGCTAAATGAGAATTTTTAACTCTAAGTAAGGACAAAAGTTTAGAACTAGCACTTCATCGTGAATCATTGTCAACCTGAGAAGTACCTTCTTGATCCGTAAGTAAGTTCATAGTTCTCATCTCCTTTCTAAGCACCTTAATCTTCAAATTCAAATTACAACAAACTACTTACTTCAAGTTTTAAGGACACCTTTAAGGATTTTAAATTTTCAATTAAGTTCAAAGGGCTTTAAACCAGTAGCACCAGAGGACTCCCAACAAGCCACAACCACCTCCAAAAAACAAACATTACCAAACCAAATCGTTATTAAATCTAAAGGGTTTTGTACCCCACACATCATTAGAATAACACATCATAATATGACAATGATCAGATACATTTTTAGGTAGAGTCAATTAAGAAGTCGTCTCCAACTTATTCCACTAACCATCCGACACCTAAATCCTATTAATATGACTAGTCATACTTCCGTTCAATTAGAAACAAGTAAAGATCCTATCTATAAGGGGAAGATTCAAGAGATCTATACTAGTTATAAAGTTATTGAAAATTAAACACTCATTGACCTACCCGCATGAATATCACAATGAGAAGCAACCCTCTCATTCACAAAAGAAACTTATTAAAATTATCTACAACAAATCATATAAAAACTAGTTTAATTTCAGAGTTTTTAAAGATCTTGCATTGAAGAATTAAACGAATGATACTCGAAGTAAATTATTATAAAATTTAATAATTAGAACAACTCAATTTGAGCTTTTTTCCAGGATCATCCAAAAACCCTTAGAGTAATAACTAAAGTTTTTACATAAGTTCAACTCAATACTTTTACTCAAACTTTTTCAGGTTTAATTTACAACCTTCAAATCTATTACAAAGATATTACAATAGAACAAATACTTTTAACACAACACTAATATATCAACTCTCATATAATTTTTTTTTACTCTCTTGACACTAAGACAATTTTAATGAAAAAGAAATTTATGAAAGAATGAGAGAAGAAATGTTGGAAGAAGATTTCTATAAATAAATGAAGTAATTTAAAAAAAAAAATTATATCCATCAATTTCTCTATAATAGATGCCACACTTGAAGAAACGAACTTATTTCAAAATTTCCAAAAACATTAGATTTGCCCCCCAAGATTTAAGATTAAAAAAAGAGTTGTTACCTAGCTTTTTTTCTCTCTTGGGAAAGAAGAAACTACTTGTAAAACATTATGCATGTATAGAAGAGAAAGTGCCCCCACCCCACTTACAAATACCAAAAACTTTTATACTAAAAATTTGAAGAATGAAAGAAAAAGAGAGAGAAAGAAGGCAAAGCTAAGTTGCCTTTGATACTGGTGTAATAGTCCTGCTTGTCAGCACATGCAATCCACTTTCTACAACAAAATCCACTTTGGACCCCAAATTTATTACCTCTCCCACAAGAAAAGCACAACACTCACAATCTTCCATATATTTCACTCCCCTTAGTTCCTCTATACCTCCTCTCTCCTCCTTCTCTCCTACTACTCTCCTTTCTTCCTTTCCATATTAACAAGTTTCATTCAAAACACCTAGTGATCATCAATCCTTCACCCTTTTATATATTACCATCATAACAAAACCTAGCTTCCAAGTTCCATCCATATAACTATCTTACTACTCAAACTTCTTAGCCTTCTCCATATATAATCATTCTTTCAATCCAAAAATGATCACCTTAACCCTACAAAAGTTCAAACTCACTCACTATTGAATTTTATCTTCTCTTCTCTCTATTTCTTTTACTTAACTTATTGAAAGTTAATAATATCCATAAGATGAGAACAGGAAATTGTTCTTTGCAACAAGGCCTAACTACAGATGCTGCAAACATAGTAAAGCAAGCAATAACCCTAGCAAAGCGTCGCGGCCATGCCCAAGTAACACCACTCCATGTAGCAAACACCATGCTTAGTGTTACTAATGGTTTGCTAAGAACAGCTTGTCTTCAATCTCACTCTCACCCTCTTCAATGTAAAGCTTTAGAGCTTTGCTTCAACGTTGCACTCAATCGCTTGCCAGCGACGAATTCTAGCCCTATGTTAGGTTCTCATCATTCTCAATCTCAATATCCTTCTTTCGCAAATGCTTTGGTTGCTGCCTTTAAGCGCGCTCAAGCTCATCAACGCCGCGGATCAATTGAGAATCAACAACAACCGCTTTTGACGGTGAAGATTGAGCTTGAACAACTCATTATTTCAATTCTTGATGATCCTAGTGTTAGTAGGGTTATGAGAGAAGCAGGGTTTAATAGTACTCAAGTGAAAACCAATGTTGAACAAGCTGTTTCCTTGGAAAACACTTCTTCTATAAAGGAAAACAATAATCAAACTCTTTCTTCTCAATCTCAAGAGAAAGTCTCCAACAAAGCATTGGTTTTGGATCCAACTAGGGTTGAGGATATCAACAGTGTTGTTGAGAATTTAAAGATGAATCAAAGAAAAAGTGTTGTTGTTGTTGTTGGAGAGTGTGTGACTAATCTTGAAGGTGTAGTTAAAGGAGTGATGGAAAAATTTGATAAAGGAGAAGTTGATGAGTCACTTAAAGGTATAAAGTTTATTTCACTTTCACTTTGTGATTTTGGCAATGTTTCAAGGGTAGAAGTTGAGGAAAAAGTTGAAGAGCTTAAGGCACTTGCAAAAAAGAGTTTTCATGGAAAAGGGTATGTTTTATATCTTGGAGATCTTAAATGGTTGTTTGATTATAAAAAGCAACAAGGGATTAGAGGCTATTATTGTTCTATTGATCACATGATAATGGAGATTGGAAAACTTGTTAATGGTATTGGAGAAAATGGAAAGTTTTGGTTGATGTGTATTGCTACTTTTCAAGCTTATATGAGATGCAAAAATGGACAACCATCACTTGAAACTATTTGGAATCTTCATCCTATCACTATTCCTGCAGGAAGATTGAAATTTAGTCTCATCACTAACAGGTAAATTTAACACGCAATTCGTTCAGTTAAGCCAGATCAGTTGATAGCTCTTACGATATCGAATCCGCAACAAAAAAAAATATTAACATGCAATTTGGTAAAGCTTGATATAATTGATTGTTACTGTGCTATGTGACTTTAAGTGCATCTTTACTTTTATTTGAAAAACTGTTTCCTTATGAATGATTATTTATCTCAAAATGAACATTGGGAAAGGGATAAATAATGGAATTGTCTTTTGCTTCTTATAGGTTAAAACTTCAACAACAACAAAAATAGCAAGCAAAAGAAGGAAAAAACTGTTTATTTTTTTTTTCTTCTTTTCTATATATCATTTCTATATATCAGAAGGGAAGAAATGACAAAAGATATTACAAGTCTGTGCACTGAAACCAAAGACTTGTCAGTCATTATAATTTTGCTTTTTTGATTGATTAGAACTTATAAACTAGGAAAGAAGCTTTTCTTTTTAAATATTTACATAACTATTTTTAATAAATAATTATTTATTTTCTTTTTTATTAATATTTGATATAATTTTCTCTTTTTGTTCTCAGCGGTTTAGAAAATGAGTCAAGAAATGAAAAAGGTGAGAATAGAACAAGCTGGCTTTTGCATGAAGGAGTAGGAGATGATCAGATAATTCAAAAACAACAAGAAACTGCTTGTTTTGGAGAACCTTCAAGAAAAAATGAGAGTGAAGTTAGAAGAAGCTTGCAGAGAATGAGTTCTTGTAAAAGTGATTCTTCAAGCTCAAGTCTTCCTGCATGGCTACAACAATACAAAAATGAGAATAAAGGAATCACCTACAATGATCAGGTTTTGTTATCATCTTATCTCAATCATATTTAGATAATAATGATAGTTTACGTAAAAACTTTCGCAGTTTCTGTCTGTATAGATATTACAATACTAATTGCGGCTGTTGTGGTGTGATTTAACCGCAATTTCTTTTTATAATAGAAATAGAAAATAATAGTATTGATATCAGCATCTTCCGATACTGTTTTATCGTGACTATTTTTTCGATAATGAATTGTATTTTAGATATGAAGATAGTTATAAAAAATTGTGATTAGTTAAAATAAATAATAATTTTTGTTATGTATTCTAGGAGAACTGTGTTCAAGTGGGAGAGCTTTGCAAAAAGTGGAACAACTCTATGTGTGGTTCAATCCAAAGACAAACCTATCATGGTGATGATAAAATCCTCACATTATCTTCAGCATCACCTTCTTCATCCACTTCAGGTTTTTCCTATGAGCAAGAACAATATCCTAATGTGTCACAAAGCTACCGCGACCGCGATCGCGATCGGGATCACCATTTTTGGATATCTCAAAGTGGAAGCAAGTTCAATGAACCTTGTAACCCTAATTCAGCTTTTTCTAGTGAGCTTATGGAAATGGAGCAACTAAACATGCTCAAAGAACTCAATATAGAGAACATGAAAACTCTATGCAATGCCTTGGAGAAAAAGGTTCCATGGCAAAAAGATATAATGCCGGAAATCGCGAGTACGGTTTTGAAATGTCGATCGGGTTTGCTAAAAAGAAAAGGAAATGTGAGAAACATTTATCATGAAGCTAAAGAAGAAACATGGTTGTTTTTCCAAGGTCTTGATTTTCAAGGGAAAGAGAAAATAGCAAAAGAATTGGCTAGGCTTGTGTTTGGATCTTACAACAATTTCACTTCAATATCACTTAGTAGTTTTGCTTCAACAAGAGGTGAATCAAGTGAGGAAAGTAGAAACAAAAGATCAAGAGATGAAGCAAGTTGTAGTTTCATTGAGAGATTTGGTGATGCAATGTCAAATAATCCTCATAGGGTTTTTCTAGTTGAGGATATAGAGCAAGTTGATTATTGTTCACAAATTGGTTTCAAAAGGGCTATTGAGAAAGGAAGAGTTTTGGATTCAAATGGTGAAGAGGTTGGTTTTTGTGATGCTATCATTATTCTAAGTTGTGAAACTTTTAGTTCAAGATCAAGAGTTTGTTCTCCTATACAAAGATCCTCTCAAGAAGATAAAGACAATGATGATGATGATGTTAATGTTGCTACTTTGGAAGAAACAAGTTCTTATGTTTCTTTGGATTTGAATATTTCTATTCATGATAATTATGAGGAGGAGGAGGATCAGATAGTGGATGAAATTGGCCTGCTTGAATCAGTAGACAGAAATATTCTCTTCAAAATTCAAGAATTGTGAAGTTTTTTTTCATCAACATATAATTTTTCTCTCTAGGAGTTTCTTAATTTCCTATGTTCTTCATCATGTCTTTGTATTTCTTAGCCATTATTTAGTTCCCTTTTATTTTATTATGTAACTAGATGTATATTAGTAGGAGTTTCTTTTTAGGATGCATGTGAGGAAGATTCTTTTTAGACGTTGTGTCTTAGTGGAACCACCTAGTACTTGTGTTTTTTTTCTCTCTAAGGATCCATATGTCATATCTCAAAATTAACCTTTTATTCCTTACTTTAAATCGTGTTTAAAATTGGTCTTTGTATAGGTTTTACTAACATGGTTTTTAAAAAAAAAATTAAATTAGGTGTTTCAAGGTGGCTTAAATTTTATAGAAGTTTTTTGATTATCGAATATTTATCTATAAATTTTCTTTTATGTATGTGATTGAGCAAATAGTCAACTTTAAAAAATTATTGTTATTACTTAATTCATAATTACAATATAGAGGGTGTATAAAATAACTATGCATTTAATATGGAGTGTATATAGATGTGATTTGGGTTTTACAATTATTATCAATTGATATTATAATTTATTATTTCATTATGGATATTTCAAAATTATTATTAATTTATTATTAATATTTTTGAAAATAGAAGGTTGACCCGGGGTCAACATTGATTAAAATTGTATTTTTTATTTTTATTTTATTATTTATTATTATTATTATTATTATTATTGTTTTAATTTTTAGTGTTTTGTTGACTAAGTCAATAAGGGTTTGGTAAACCCTAATCTCAATACTGCGTCCAATTGGATCCTTGCACCATAAGTTAACTTCAAAAGTCCATAAACCTTGAGTTTACAATCAAATCTGGAAATCAAATATTAAATTGAAATTATTGATACAACAAATTTAAACATACAATAGCGTCCAAATACTTCAGTTATATTACAAACCCTAAATCATTGTTCTAAACTAAATCTAATCCAATCTTTAATTTGAATCAATCTAAGACCTAATTGATTTATAACAGTAAATCAACCTTAATTCTAATTCCTAATTGACTGAGACCTATACCTTATAAATAGCGTAATTCTAAACTAGAAAAAGACACGAGAAAACCCTTGAAGAGTCCTTGAAAATTTGCTACACATCTCTCACCCTTCACTAAAGCTCTGCATCAGTGAAGACTTAGGTTTCACGACTAAAACCCTAAGTTTTTCAGAGCTTAGCCCCAAGCCTAGGTACCTGCGAATACAGAAAAAAACAGGAGATTAAAAGAAGGTGAGAAAGTAGATGGATAGGAATTAACAAATTACAACCTGTTTCACGGTAGAAGAGGTAATCTGAAATAACACTTAGCTTAGGATTATAATTGTTGAATTTCTGAACGATTGGTGTTTGATTTAGGAATTTCTGGGTAATTTGGGGTTTAGGGCTCATAGTCAGGGTTAGGGTTCTAACTTAGGATTAGGGTTCTTAGACCCTAGGGTTAGGATTCTTCATTATTGTGTTTCTGGGTTTAATTTAGGGTTAGGGTTCATAGGGTTTGAATGAAGATTACCTAGGATTCTAATGGTTTTGGGGTGATGGACAATGGTTTCTGGGTTGGGGACGATGTTTCTGATGAATATTTGAATTTTTTCGGTTGAATGTCAATCGAAAATTAGGGAGAAGGGTGGTGTTGGCGTTTGTGCAAGGTGGCCGATACGGTGGGGTGATTTCCGATGGCTGGATTTCTCTCTAAGTTTTTATTTGTGTAGTAAGAAGGGTTAGAGAGGGAGACAAGGGGAAGGAAAATGAGAAGAAATTGTTTATATAAGCCCTTGGTCTCCCCGTGTTCCATCGCTTACGATGTTCCCTCGGTCAACTTGCATCTCAATTATTCGTTTGTTATACTTTTGATCAAACGCTCCAAGATTAACTCCTGAGGACCGTTGATCAAGATCAAGCGTTCCAGGCTTCACCGTTACACCATAAACGTTGTACCTCCCCACATCATGCTCAAACGGACCCAGAGTCTGTATTAGGCTCAAGCCCTTTCTAATCACACCCTTTGTTTTACTTCATCAACTGTAATTCTTCCCTCTACCTAATTGGATTGAAACAAGTTATTTAGGCTTAAATCCTTACTCTCCACGCCCCCTATTTTTACTACTTAATGCAAACCTGTACCCCCTGCGCAATTGGGTTACCAACAACATGCTATTCAGACCCCCTGCTTTTGCTATCTTGAATAAAAATACACCCTCTATTTTTAATCAAATAATTTATTTAGTTTATTAAATTTAATAAATAAATAAATTAATTAATTAGTTCTATTTATTTATTTAATTTATAATTTGCTTCTCATATCATTTTTTAGCATGTGCATTAAAATAATTTTTGCAAGTATCCTATAAATTATTTTGATAAATAAATATTGGCTTATTATTAAAAATATTTAATATATTTTTAATAACAAGAAAATAATTATTTATTAATTATTTTCTATAAAAAAATACTAACCCTTTTTTTTCATAAATTCCTCAAATGTTGTTTTATCATTTAAATTATATTTTTCAAAATTGCATCATTCTAATACAGCTAACCCATCAAACGTAACATCTTTTTACTAACATAATAAAAATCCAAAATTATTTTCAAAAAAGAGTTGTGGATATATTTTCTATTAACTGTGAACAGCGTCTACGACTATCCTATTTTCAAACACATACAAGGTGTAAAGATAATTTCAAACATTACTAGAATCCATAAAAAAGCTAACCAAACACATACAGACTACAAAATTGGACTCTGATTCTTCGCAAGGAGATACGCAGGCACACTGTTAAAACCAAAGCGAGTTCATAATTGAAAAACTAAAATTCTTTTTTTAATATATAGAATCATTGACTATCAAATACCCATTCTACTCTTATACCTAAAAGTGGAGCCCCTTGAGAACAAGAGAGATGAAGGGTGCCTAACACCTTCCATTCCTCTAACCGACTCACAGATTTAGAATCTCTGTACAAATTAGGGTTACCTGTTATTCCTCCCGTCCTTAGGACAAAAATTAATGGTGGCGACTCTAGTATTTTTTTTTTCGGTTACTACAACTGGCGACTCTGCTGGGGACACTACCCTAAGGTTTAGAGTTTCCCTATCTTTTAGGTCTAGGGTTTCTTGGGGTTATTTCTGTTAATGGCATGTTTTTGTTTCCTTATTTATTTATTTATTTATTTATTGGTTTACCATAATTTATCTTATTATTATTATTATTATTATTATTATTATTATTATTATTATTATTATTATTATTATTATTATTATTATTATTATTATTATTATTATTATTATTATTATTATTATTATGATTATTATTATCATTTTTTATCATATTATTGTTGGTGGAGTTTTAATTTCAAAAAGTATATCAAACCTTAGAAGAAGGATTGTCAATTGGCCAAGGGGGTTTAACATCTCTATGAGTTTTTGCGACAACTTCGCATAGAGTCGATTGAGTTCCAAAGAATATCTTTTAGAGGGCTAGACTCTCTAGAAGATAAGAATTTGGGATTTGACCAATGACTGTTTGTATAACCATAAAACAAAATCTCATGGTGATGCCTTGAATGACCTAAGAGACGCAAGTCTCGGTCTACAAAGAGACTCCACTTAAGGGTTACCCTCGTACCTTTTCCCTCTAGTGTTATCCATAATACTCTTAAGGAAACCACCCTTTTAGGGAGGGTAAAATATCCGTAGGACGGAACTACAAACCTACCTACTAAGGATAACTTTCACAAATCCCACCACCTATTGCATCACCATGCATAAACATACATCTTGCATTTCAAAATATTCCTTACTTTTGCATTTGTGTTGTCTTATTCATATGATTCCTAAGAAAAAATAATCAAAGGTTTTTGGTGAGTATCCTAAAGATGAATGCCAACAAGAGACAAATTGTTCGAGTTAGCGTTGTGGTTCCTAATATAAAGAAGATCAAACTGATTAGGGGAAAATTAACAGATAAATCTATGAAGATGTTTTTTCCCATCTATGGGAATATCCTTGAGTTAACTAAGATAACTGTGCAAGTGGAAGCCGTCATTGCCCTCACTCAATTCTACGACCCTCTGCTGAGATATTTCACTTTTCAGAATTTTCAACTAGCACCTACATTGGAAGAATTTGATAGGATCTTGAATTTCTCTAGGATCAAAGAGGAATCTTACAAAGGAATTGGACAAACTATTAGTGTCAGAAATTTGGCTAAGGAGATAGGGATACCTTTCACTGATTTGCTACTTTACTACAAGAAAGATGGGGAGGTTCAAGGTATTAAAAGGTAGTACTTAGAATCTAATGCTCTCTCTTTTGCTGATAAGAAAGAATGGGAAGGTTGTGTAGACTGTTTGGCACTGCTAATTTTTGTTTTGGTGTTATTTCCAAATACTATCTACTATATTGATTCTGCAGACGTTAATGTATTTTGGGTCATAAAGGTGTTAAATGCGGATCCTACTCCTACCTTACTTGTTGATGTTTACTACGCCATTCATACACACTATGAAAATAGGAGGGGCGTGTTAAATTGTTGTATTCCACTCTTATACTCTTGGCTCATTTCTCACCTCTACGAAGAAGACTACATGGTTAAAGACTTAACAATGAATGAACGGTCCCAAAAATTGAGGGCTCTTACTACAGACTCTATTTTATGGTATGCTAGGAAGTTGAATATAGGGCATATTATCATTAGTTGTGGAGAATTTCTAAATGTTCCTCTAATTGCAACAAGAGGATGCATTAATTATAACCCCACTTTGGCTTTACGTTAACTTGGGTATCCTTTGGAAGATAAACCTTCCGAAGAACAACTTTAACAATTGGTCCTTTATAATATGGATAAGAACATCCCCGAGTTACTTGTAATAACCATTCGAGCTTAGGGTAAGGTACACAAGAAAGGTTCTGAATTTAGAAGGAAGAATGCGATAGCAAGAGAGCCTTATAATCAATGGGTTTT